TTATAAATGTATGTATATATTACATAAATATAAACCTATTTATATTTAAATAGGCATTTAAACATTGTGCTTAAATGTGTATTTATATATTTTATATATTTATATTTACACATATAAATATATATGTTTTTAATGTGTTGATGAATTGAATGGATGAATGAATTTTTGGGTCCCGGCTAGTTAGGCCATGATGCTGATGAGTAACTCAGTCATCACACTGGTCATGGTTTGCACCAGCCAGCTGTATCTTGGTGCTGGTCACAATATTTAGCTCACATTTCTATAGTGCTTTAAGATGCACCAAGATTGATAAGCAATTCCCTCATAGTATCTCTGAGATATAGTTCACATAAGTATTAAAATTCCCATTTTACAGATGAGGAAACTGAGAATGAGAGAGTTTATATGACTTGTCTATGGCTTTATTGCTAATTGTCAGAGCTGGAATATAAACCCTAATCTTGCCTCACTCCCAATTCCATGTTCATTCCATTACACCAAGAAAGCCCAAGACAGATGTGTATAGATTCCTTATTGGAAAACCATTATCGCTACTACAAAGGTATCACAAGTATCATTCCCACTGACATTAATAGTAATATCATTTTGCATGTTTATTTTATAGTGTGGTAAACAGGGCAAAAGAGAAATGGACATTTGGCAATTATCCTATGTATCTGATTTGTATATACCAGCAAACGCCTCAGCTTAATCTACTTAAGATCAAGAAAGGAAAGACAATTGGAGGACTTGGGTTCTAATCCTGGTTCTGCTACCTGTTACTTATATGACCTTGCGCAAGTTCTTTATCTGTAAAACGGCAGTGGGGGAGGAGGGAGAGATGACCTCTTAGGGATCTTCTAGGTCCAAATCCATGCTGTTTTGATAAAATCATTAGCACCATATACGGTATTTGAAGCTTTCTTACCAAGTACTTATATTTCCCTTTATATATTTCAGTATATTTCAGGACGATTGGCACAAAGGAGACTATATGATGCAATGAATAGAGTACTACACTTGGAGACTGGTAGAATTGCAACTTACTAGTTGTATAACAATGGGTGAATCACTTAACATCCCTGAGCTTCAGTTTCCTCATCTATAAAACGGGGACACCTTTAGTACCCACATCACAGGATTATTTCAAGATTCAAATGAGACAATGTATAGAAAGATCTTGGCAAACTTTAAAGTGCTATGAATATTTAAAATATTCAAAATCTGTAAAACATGCTTTTTTCAATATTATTATATAAACCTATTTATTATATTTGCAATTTATGCTTCTCTGCAAAAATGTAAATTATAACAAACATTATAATTTGACTAGTAATATATGTATCCATGTATGTATATATCTCTATATAAATATATATGTATACATGTATGCATGTGCCTTACAGCACACGTTCTGATGGTATTTGGATGAAGATCACTTACTTGTCCTTTGAAGTCTCTGTAGGTGGAGATAACACAGATAACTATAAGCAGATCTCTCAGCTAAGAGATCACCCGAAGGAACCTCACTTCCCAGCAATGGCCTCAGTTCAGAAAAACTCTGGTAGAATCAAGCAAAGTATGATGCTTGAAATGATCATCAGGGTCTTCAGCAAGGTGCTGAGTCCTGCTAAGAAATTTCAGTATAAAAGAAATACAAAAATAGTGGACCAATGGAAGTGGACCAGTATGAAGTAATTGAAAGAGTGGTCAACTTGCCAGTTTACAAAATAGCCCCCAGAAACGGCCAAAGCCCTTCAGAGAATGTATTGCAACGGTTGTAGTGTATGACAATGCGTACTGATGCCTAGTGATATTCCTTGGCAAGGAGGAAAAAGAGAGTGAGTTAAGTTAATAGTTAAGCAGAATATAAGAAAAAGATCACTTGCAAATTATATAAAGGATCAGTAGAATTAGCTAACCCAGAAGATGATGATTCAGGTGGAGAAGGAATTGTTTATCGGTGACCACTGGAGGGTCAAGGAAGTCAAGTGAGTCCAGTCTGGCTCTGTTCAGAGAGAGAGGAAGGGGGCTGAACCAAGAGACAACCCCTTAAAGCCAAATATTCAAGTTGTGGAGGTTCATGGGGAATGGAGGGCACCCATAAAGCCTGGAACTGTTGGTCAGCCTGGGCCACCCAAGAGCTCAGGAGATCACAGAGAAGCTCCAGGTAGGACTATCTGGCCAGTGATCAAGTATGTTTATGCTTCAGGAAAAATGGCTACTCACGCAACTCTATGAGGCTCATTGCTAGAATGCACGTAATAAGTGGCTGACACATAACTTTATTATGTGGTGTATATGACTTTTACTGTTGTATTATGCTTCTTTGATACATGTATGCGTGTCATAATGTTGTTAATATGTTTTATTCATTGTTAGCATGTATTATCATGTGCATTGCTATGTTTCTGCGTATGACTTATGTATTTGTTATTGTTCATTATTTATCCATTATATGTGAATGCATAGTGTTGTGCTTGGGTCTTGTATTACTAGTTTTACACACACAATGCTGTCACATGTGTTATCATCATGAACAATGTAGCTTTTTTTATATGTATGACTAGCTACATGCAAGTCTAATGTGACCATGCTGAATGAGTCATGTGATTGTACATGGTACTACGGTTATTAATTTTTATATACTATATTCACCGATATCTAAGTGTACCCTGATATACAGATATACATATATATGTCCTGATATATAGATACACATATACATGTATACGTGTATCTGTATATCAGAGTACACCAATATATAAAAATACATATATGTGCACATGTATATATGTGTGTATGTGTATATATGTATACATGCATATATACATATCTATGTATAAATATCTCAGAGCTATCTCTACATATATTTTGTTGTGTGTGTACATACACACATCTATAATATATAAATGTGAGTGTGTGTGTGTGTGTGTGTGTGTTTGTGTGTATGTATGTATGTGTGTAAAATTTGCAGGGTATGCAAAGTATGCAGGTATGCAGGGTATGCAGGGAGAACGTGGGGTAGCTCAAAGCCTGACAGACTTACTGCTGGTCACACATAGACAATAAAGAAAAGAATTTAGGGGGCTGCTGGGTGGCACAGTGGATACAGCACCAGCCCTGAAGTCAGGAGGACCTGAGTTCAAATATGGCCTCAGACCAAACACTTGACGCTTACTAGCTGTGTGACCCTGGATGCCTCCTGGTGGCTACACCTGGCTTTTAGTTTTGCTGTTTTTGCCTTACCTGCATCTCCTTATTTTCACGGGGGACCCAACAGATCTTGAGGGATTGAGGAAAAACCACAGTGCCTGAGGCCCACAGAAATCCTGTGGGATTTTTAAAAATGGTTTGAGGATCCCTGTGAGGTAGGAAGCCCAGTTAGGAGGTCATTGCAATCATCTAGGTGAGAGGTGATGAGGGCCTGAACGTAGATGGGGGCTGTTTAAATGGATCCAAGAGATAAGATGTGAGAGAAATTGTGGAAGTTAAGATGTCAATTGATTGGATACGTGGAGTGAGAAAGAATGTGGAGAAAAACTCTATATGAACCTGAGAAATTAGGAAGTTGTCAATGGCCTTGATAGAAGTAGGGAAGTTTAGAAGAGGGAAAGAAAGATAACGAGTTCTGTTGTGGACATGTTGAGTTTGAGACGTCTCTAGAATACCTAGTTTGAAATGTCTAATAGACAATGGGTGATATGGGGCTGAAGCAGAGGGAGAGTCTATCTAGGTCTGTGAGTCATCTGCTTAGAGATCGATCCCTCAAATCCAAGACAAGACCCTAGATGGGACCTGTGGCCCAAGGGGCTCCTTCCCACAATGAAATTTTATTCTGGATTCACATAGAACCAGTATTCATCCTGGGGGCTGCTTGACTCCAAAGAAGAGAATTTTCTTGTACTCTCTGGATCATCACTCTCCTTCCCCACCCTCATACTCCAGAATAGAACTCCAGGGGAAAATCTCTAAACAAAGACACAGACATGGCTCATGTCTAGGTCCTCCCCCACAGAGATGCTACATTTCATCGAGATAGCGCAGAAATTCTTAGATTCTCAGGCGTCTCTGCGACTTGGGCTGTGTCTGAGAATTGGCCACTGAGCATCACAGACGACTGTCCCATGAGAAATCCCCAGAGGAATCCCCTCCCCTCTCTGATGGAAGTTTAGGGAAAAGTTTCCAGGCCTCAGATCAGATCTGGCCCAAGAAAGGAGACAAGTGTGGAGGCCTTCTAAAGCTTTTAGAGCCTACCACAGATTTACCAGAAGCTCTGTATCCTGGAGCATCTGAGGCCATAGAACGGGAGAAGTGAGTTCTTCCTTTGAAGGGCCCTCATTTGCATACTGCTAATGCAAAAAGAACCCAGAGACTAAAAATGAATTTACTAGGCATCTCCTGGCTGTGAGCTGGTTACTACAATGTAAATGTAGTCAGGCAATAGGTATTTCTTTTTTTCTTTAATTTATTTTATTTTTAATTTATGGAATAAAACAAGCATTTCCATAACATAGTATAATAAAAAAGATGATTGCACATGAAACTGCAAATCTATTATGTGCAACTTGCTATTCCTTTTAAATATGCAATTAAATTATCGTGTAATTTCTTTTTTTTCCTTTTTTTTCTTCTCCGCGCCCATGGCTACCATTAGACACAAATAGGGATGTATATATGTAAAATTATCTACATTTATTAAGAGCTTATTGTGTGCCAGGCGCTGTGTCTGGGGATAAAAAGGCAAAAAATCATGGTCCCTGCCCTCAAGGAGCTCACATTCTCATGAGGAAAGGAAGGAAATAATCATTTATTAAGCTCCTATTATGTGCTAAGCACTGTGCTACGGCTTTTACAAATATCTCATTTTATATTCACAACAACCTTGAGAGGTAAATGCTATTATTATCCCCATTTTACAGTTGAGGAAACCTTTAAGTAACATGCCCAAGGTCACACAGCTAGTAAATGTCTGAGGCTGGATTTGAACTCAGGTTTGTTTTTTTTTTTGACTCCAGGCCCAGCACTCTATCCACCATGCCACCTAGACTCACCCAGACTCTATTACAACCCATACCAGATTCTACCAATTCCTCAATTAGCCTCATTTATAAAATGGAACCTCCTTGAGGACAGGAACTGTATTCTATTAATATCTGTACCTCCAGTATCTATCATAATGCTGAAAACATAGCACTCATTTAATAAATGCTTGTTAAGTGAATTAATTGATGTGGATTTGAGGGTACTATGAATATCACCAATCCTCAGCCATTAGTAACTGACAGAAAGTTGTAGACATTTTGATAAAAACCACCGTGTGGGGTTGTGGCTTTATGATCTAAGGTCTGCTGGGGTGGGTGTTGGGAAGGAGGAGGGTTTTGAGCAGCTGTGTAAAGAGGAACCGAAAGAACATTTTGTCTGTTAGAATAAAATGGCACCTTTGATGCAGGATTCAGGTTCATTTCCTCTAAGTCAAACCAGGCACAGACTACCCCACTGAGGCCAGAACTTCTTGGCTGGTCTTCCCATTTTCATCTCAGGAGGAAGAAATGGAACCTTGGGGTGACTTCAGCTGGAATTTCAAGGCTTGAAGGAACAAAAAGCCGGCTCACACTTGCAGCATTTTCGGCTCCAAAGGCTTTCCTCACAATAGCACAATGATTTAGGTAGTTCCTTGACTGATCAACTCAATTTCACAGATGTGGAAGCAAAGGATTAGGTCTAATGACATGTGGGGATTCTTGGGTCTTGTAACTCCAAGCCCAGCTCTTCCTTCCAATCAAAGAAGGCCGGGGAACAATAAGAATAGGCTATGGAAAGTCACTACCCCATGTCAACTCTCAGAGCTTTGGCTAAGAGATGCCGAGTGTTCAAAGAGAATGATTCCTGGTAAGGAGGAAGAAGGTAGTGGGAAGTTCTGTGCTTCTCATGGCCCAGGGAGGTCAGTGCCAGTCCACCACACAATAGAGAACCAGGCTGGGCATGTCCTATTCTTCAACTAAGATAGAAAGAGAACCCTAAACTATGTTGTATAAGCATTAGTGGGCAGCGGGACACAGTCTTCAGGGTCAGAAAGTCATTGAATGCAGATATTGGTCTTATGTCTTTCAGTTTCCATTGTATCAGAGCTGACTAATTATAAGGGGGCTCTGTAAAGTCTGGATTGATGGTAGTGGGGTACTTGCGTGGAATATAGCTGTGGGACAGCCAGGCAGCACAGTGGATAGAATCAGGAAGACTCATCTTCCTGAGTTCAAATCTGGCTTCAGACACTTACTAGCTGTGTGAGCCTGGGCATCACTTCACCCTATCTGACTCAGTTTCCTCATCTATAAAATGAACTGGAGAAGGAAATGGCAAACTGTGGTTACTCTCAGCCCCTGTCACAACGAGGCCCTTTACTGGATTAGTCCCTGCCCTCAGGGAGCTTACAATGAAATAGGGAAAGAAAACTTACCCACAAATGGAGATGTAGCCAGAACCTTCACCCCCAACGTGGCCCTCTGAAAGTTCCATCCAGGCATGTGATTCTATCAGGTTCCATCATCTCTTCAAATTCTCAGCACTGAGCCCCCATCTCAGACGAATTCCTGCCAGATCTTACCACGATGAATCACATGAAATCACATCAAATAGAACATTCAATCAAAAAATTTATCAAGAGATAAATCACAGACATTGAATTAAATTGCAACATTCCTGGCACAAATTCCAAATGCTTCCTGGGAGTTTCAGCTTGCTCCTCGATGACTCCCTTCTGGGTCCCCAGTCCAGCAGAAGCAGAGCCTGGCTGATCCATCTCATAGCTTGGGGACATTTTGGCAGGTACTCCATTTCTCCTCGGGGTGCTCAGCTTCCTCACGTCTCCTCCTCCACCACTCAGCCCTCCAGCTTATGGCAGATGTCTTCTCTTTCTGCCTGCCATCGCCATGGGCATTGCCCCTTCTCTCCTCCTGCTCTTGTGGCCCTGAGCACCATAAACCAGGGTACTACTCTGCCAACAAGGGAGCCTAGGGCATCACTTCCAACCTAGTCCCTGGCATTCTCCCTCTTCCCGTTTCCTGTTCCTCACAAGACTTTCCTCAGAGCTTTTCCATACCTCCTGTGGTCAGAAGCTCCTCGTTCATGCAGTTTTCTGTAGATGGAGTTCCAAAGAGAGCAGTGGACTCACATGGTTTCCTTACAAATATAACATAAATTTGAACACAAGAGGTAAAGAGGGCCGTAAGAATTTAGAGGAGGAAACAATCACTTTTATTTAGGAGAATAAAGGAAGGTTTCAGGAAGGAGAAGTAGCATTTTACCAGGGCCTTGAAGACTAAATGGTGGTCAGGAAAGGGTAGAGGAGAGGGAATGAGCATTTATTAAGCACATAGGATGTGCCAGGTGCTGTGCTAAGTGCTATGCAAACATTATCTCTTTTGATTGTAAGCTCCTTGAGAGCAGGTCCTGCTTTTGCCTCTTTTTGTATTGCCAGGGCTTAGCACAGTGCCTGGCACATCATACGTGCTTAATAAATACTTTCTGAATTAAACTGATTGGACAGGATTTCAACAGGTAGAGACATGAGAAGACATTCCAGGCACAAAGGCTTGAGCAAAGGCTGTGCTCAGGTATGTGAACTGGAGTAGGCTGAGACATGGCAAGAAAAGTATATTGGTCTTGGAGATGTTGTAGGGGAAACTGAATGGAAGAGAATGGAACACACGGGGAGAAAATGGGGAAAAAGAGTTGCTTGTTTTTTTTTTTTAACAGAAGATACACGTAGGTTAGGAAGATTAATATGGCAGTAGGAAGGACCAGAAAGGAAAGACACTAGAATCTGGGAGGCTGATTAGGAGTTTCTTACAATAATTTAAGTAAGAGCCAAAGTCAGAGAAAAATGGGAAGAATTATATGAACTGATACAGTTAAGAAAACAGAACTAAGCCTTTTAAGATCCCTCCAACTCTCAATCAATGATCCTATGATTTAGGAGAACAATATATACCCAACCTCGAGGAACTGTGGCTGGGGTGGTATACTGTACCCACTCCCTTATTCACTAAGGGGTCACTCTGCTCTGAACCTATGTGTGTGGTTGGGACCAAGGTCAGTCTTGGGGAAATCTGGCCTCTAATGAAAGTGTAACTAGGCCTCCTTTTCTCACATACCTTAGTTCATTAAATCCCTATCCTAGTATTCCAGGAGTAAATTATCTAAGGCTCAGGTTTAAACTCATTTCTCGGTTATCTCAAAAAGAGGGAATTGAAAAGTTATTCATTGTACAATATGAATCAGGTATGGGAGAGGTAGTTATTTCCTACACACAAAAGCAGTGCTAAACATTGAACATTTACAAGCACACATTTGACAAAAACAACCTTAAAACGGTATTTGGTAAATTAACTTCTAATCACTGCTACAATATGCTGGGAGGTTATTGATAACTAAAGCTCATCAGAACGAAATGCCAATCCTTTTGTTGGTGCAGAAGATTCCTTTGGCACCAGCTAGCACCACTCATTGGACCTGGGATCTCCAGATCTCTTAAATTTACAAAGTCTTTCCCAGCCTGGATATATCCATCTCAAGATAAGTACCTAAGACTGGGAAGGAACAAACAACGCAGAAGTAGAAAAGACATGGGGCCCCAGGGACAAACTCATCCAGTGGAGATCCCCTGCCCCAGCTGCCATAGGCAAGGTTTCCATGATACTGGGCATAGACGGGCCTGCCCTTCCCCAGCCCTCACTGGAAGTGTAGTTACATGATGCCACCTGGAAAGTTGAAAAGAAAGCCAACCAGAAACTGTCCCTCTTTTTAACAGATAGGACAGAGCTCCCTGCTTGATGTCATCACAAGGAAGAGCCTATTGATCACTCAGATTTTTCTTTGTCATACCAAAGCAACAGAGAGTCGGTGAGACATAATGAGTAGACAACTGACCTTGGAGTCAAGAAAAATTGCGTTCAAGTCCCACTTTGGCACAGGCTAGATGTGAGACCCTAGGCAAGTCACTGGCAACTCTCTATGCATATAAGTTGCAAAGTAGGTATGGGCACCTGGGAGGTGCCATTCCTTATGCTACTGAAATCATAAATCTCATCCCTATCTCCACCAAAGGGCAAAGTCCTGTCAGGGCTGGGCCATCACATGACCAGAAGCAGCTAAGGAGTTCATTATCTCCAAGAAGCCCTAATGTTGAGTCATTAAGTCTCTGGTGGGAAGTTTCCAGGGGAACTCTGGACATATATTCCCTGGGCTGGCCCCCACTGGTCAATTCAACTTCTACTACATATACAGTAACTACAGTAAACAGAAACAACACCCAGAGTCAGCTGAACTTTGATGAATTATAATGACCAATTCTGGTCCTGGAGACCCGATCATGAAACGGACTTGCCTTTTCTCATTGTGAAGGGACAGAGATTACTTATGGGGGATGTTTCATATGCCATCGGAGGGAGTCATTGTGTGGGCTGGCTTTTGTCTAACTAGTTTTTCTGTGTTACATGAACCAATTCAACGCTGTAGTATATAAGGAAATATTTCAAGGCTTTAAAAAAGCAGCAAAATAACTTTTTTAGAAAGAGAGAGAGACCTAGAAGGGGTGAGAAGTGGCAATAAGAATAAAAAAGGAGGTGAGACATTTTCTGAGGCAGAAAAAGTAGGGTTTACCAAATGATTCGGTGGGGAAGATGGAGAATGGAGAGAGAAGGTGTCAAAAATGACTTCAAGGTTATGAATCTGAGTGACTGGCAATTAAAAATATAAGTCAGAAGAGGGGAATTTTGGGGGGGATTTGGGGGAAATGGGTAATGAGTTCAGATTTAGATACCTTGCCTTTGCCGAACAGACAAGACATTCATCTCACTTTGGTCAGCCTCAATCTTAAAATGGAAGAGGCAACGTCGAGAATGAGAAGGCACAGGTGTAAGATTGGGATCCTGAGAAGAGTGGAAAAAGTTTCAATCAGTGAAGGGGGAGATTGAAATAGGGAGTCAGAGAAGCATGAAGGGATTGTGAGGAGGCACCAATTTCATTTGTTTTATGAATTTATAGTGGAATCAAAGAATGGTTTTGTGTCTTTCTTCAGGGGATACAGTGGAAAGTCAAGGGGGCAAGTAATTTTAGGGATGCTATTAATACTGAGAATGTCTTTGCAATGGCTGGTGAGGTCTAGGATGGCTAGGGTAGCAAATGAATTTAGGAAAAAAGGCTCAAAGTCAACTTCAAAAAAAATGAGGGAGTGGTATAAGTGAAGGGATAGGAAATGGTGGTTTGACAAACATGTGTGCGTGTCTATATCTGTCTCTTCCTTTTAGACGTTTTATTTCTTTTTTTTCTTATTTATGGTACACTGTAACCTTTATATTTCCTCTCAACATTACTTTCCTATTTTCTACTTGTTTTTTTTTTCCCCTCTTTCTTTGTTTAGATCACTCTCAAAACGTCTTTCCCCATCAAGGAAGGGGCTTTCCCCAACCCCAGAGTCCATTCCTTATCAGTGATCCACATTTTCCTTATCCAGCTTCCTCGTTTTCAGGAGTGTTCCACCCACTTTCATTGTCTCTATTCCGCAGACCTGGGGTTCTTAATCAGAGATCAGTGGGTAGAATTCAGACACTCCTGAAATCATCGTTATTTTTACTAATCTCTAGCTGAAGTTTAGTATACTCATCAATGATGATTTAAAATATATAATTCGCATAATTTTAATTTCATACCTCATCCTGAGAAGATTTCCATAGGTTTCATCAACCAAAAAACTTAAGAACCCCTCAAGTAAACCCTGAGTCGACATCCATGTAGATTGAATCTAGTTGATTCTTTCTTTCTTTCTTTTTTCTTTTTCAGGTTGTCCCAATGTCTAGGTTTTATTTGTCAGAACAGAGTTTCAGTAAGAAGTGATGTAAAGTATAATTGTTTTAGTATTCAAAAGGGTGAAACAAAAATTATATACAATTACGTTGCCTATAAATTAAATTGCTCATGAAGAATGTGCCTTCTTTTTGTACAATCAAAACCCAGTTCAAAGTAGCAAGGAGATGATGGAAGACAAGAACAGTATTAGCTGTTAGGGCTTGACTGTCCCCTCCCCCCAGGAGGCTTTGTTCACTCCGGCAGCCTCTGTGTCTACTCAAGAGCTGAAGGGTGAACAGAGATCTATTTCTAAAATTCTTTAGTTGCTTGAGGGAGCAGGAAAAGCGGCTTGCTGCCTGAGGTGTATATATGTTTGTGTATGTGTGTGCATACATACACAACACATTCACGTTATCTAGCAAAACATAAAAGTCTACCACAATATGTATATATATATATATATACATGCACATATGCACACTCTCACATATTTAGCAAAATATAAAAGTCCACCAAAATATATATCTACATATGTGTGTGTATAGACACACTCACATATTTAGCAAAATATAAAACTCCACCAGAATATATGTGTGTATATATGCATATATGTACACACTCACATATTTAGCAAAATATAAAAGTCCTCCAAAATGTATATCTATATATGTGTGTGTATATACACACTCACATATTTATCAAAATATAGAAGTCTACCATAATATATGAATATATGCATACATGTATATATGCACACACTTACATATTTAGCAAGATGTAAGTCTACCAGAATATATGTATGTATATGCATATATACACACTCACATATTTAACAAAATATAAAAGTCCACCAGAATATATGTATGTATATGCATATATGCACACACACATTTAGCAAAATATAAAAGT